GCGTTTCTCACCACTTCTGTTCTCGTTCCTTTGGATACCGTTTTGGATACCAAATATGATAAAATAATGTGATAAAATGGTTACAATTTGCTCAAAAAGAGGTTTTCTTGCTGTTGTCGCTGTTGTCACTGTTGTCGCTGTTGTCGCTGTTGTCGTCGTCACTGTTGTCGCTGTTGTCACTGTTCTATGCTGTTGTCACTGTTGCACTGTTGTCGCGGTTGTCGCTGTTGTGGCTGTTGCCACTGTTGTCACTGTTGTCGCTGTTGTCGCTGTTGTTATTGTTGTCACTGTTGTCGCTGTTGTCGGTGTTGTAACTGTTCTCGCTGTTTTCGCTATTGCTAGTGTTGTCGCTGTTTTGAGTGTTGTCGCCGTTGTCGCTATTGTCACTGTTGTCGCTGTTGTCGCTGTTGTCGCGGTTGTCGCTGTTGTCGTCGTCACTGTTGTCGCTGTTGTCACTATTGTCGCTGTTGTCACTGTTGTCGTTGTCGCTGTTGTCACAAAGGGATGAAGTGTTCTAAAAACTAAGTATGTGAGAGGTGGTACCATTTGTCAATCGAAGGTATAGGAAAGGGGTGCATTTTCTGTTAAAAGCGGTTTAAAAGAAAAGGGAGTTGTTATTAGGAACAGAGCCTCCCCCCCCCCCGGGCTAGATATTGTTAGAGTTTAGTAAAATTACTCTCATAAAAAGGTAAAAAAGATGACACTATTATACGTTAGTTCTGATTTATATTTCATCCTCTCGGGAATGTGAGTTCGGTGCTCAATTATGCTTATTATGCTCTGTTCTCGAACCGGCCACCAGTGAAGTGCCAGGTGTTGAGCTAGTTGTCGTATTAACGCGTAGTTAATGTCAGTCATTTAACCGGTTATAGCCTTTAATTAAATTGCTAATATTTACTTATGTTGGCAGTTTCCAAAAAGGTACTACTTCTCAAGTAGGCAACTGAAATGGCGATTCTCCTTCCATTTCCTCGTTTGAATTTGCCAACACTTTTCAAGGTTAGTTATCAGAATTTATCACCTAATTTGTTTCGTTTTTTGCTTGATAATGTTGAACATTGAATATGTGTGACAACTGACAGGTTTTTTTATTATTATTATTATTATTATCCAATACTTTTTATTTTTATTGTAATTTGTTTTGTTACTTACTGACATCTTTATTTAATTTTTTATTCTTTTACTTTCTGCTGTGTATTAATGTTGTTCATTTGTTGTCAATTTAAAAAAAATGTTTGTTTTCACAGAATTGGCAGCAAAAAAACAGGGGCACCCAACGTCAATTTTCGGAAAATATCTGTTCGGAAGGCGACTTAATTTTTTTGTAAAATTTCTTGCTTGTCTGCCTCTCCTAGGATTTTCGAACATCTAGAAAATGGTATATTGCCCATTTTTAACGGATTTTTACCCTAAAAAGGTCACCGAAAATTTTCGGTAGCCTTTCTTGAGGGTGCTAATGGGGGTACCCAATTCTCAGTTAACTACTATTTTTGGTTAGCTATTAAGTTTCACTTTCCCA